GCGGCGCGCGAAACAGCTGTTTCGTGCACCGCTGCTCCCCTCCCAGGCTTCAGAGCCTGGGAGGGAGGGGGAGACTCCGAGTGGCCGCGGCGCGGGCGCCGCTTCTCCCCCTCCCTCCCTCCTAGGCTTGAAAGCCTGGGGGGAGGAGGCAGGGCTGGGGATTTGGGGAAGGGGCGGAGTTGAGGCGGGGCCGGGGGTGGGGTAATTAAAAAACGGGGGCCGGGGGCGGCCAATATTGTTTTTGCTTTGGGCGGCAAAAATCCTAGCACTGGCCCTGGTTTTAGGCCATGTATATCTGGATTGTCCCCCCTTTAGAATTCAAATGGAACATCCGATAGGGAGACTGGAGGCACCCGAGACACCCCGGCACTCGTTTGGCACCTCTGTGTATAAACTATCCTGCACCAACCATTGGCTACTTTTTCCCCAGCTCCCTTGCAACAGGACATCTATCTCCACATCATTGCTAATGACTAAGAGCTTGCAACAAAATCATTACTGAGCATTGAGTCTGCTTGTCCCAGAAACACAAACAGGAACCCAATGCAAAATGGAGCACAGACCTTAAACAGTTTATATCTATTTGTGATCCTTGAACCCACAGCCATCAGGCGGGGCTCTGAATTCCTGCCTATCCCACAATTAGATGAAGAGCTCCTACTGAGTAGATGCCTCAGGGACTGATAGTGTGATGGATTGTGATTATGCTATGGAGGCTTTCAGCTCTAGGTCACTAGTTCAGATTCAAACCAGGAAAATTATGGGCAACAGTCAATACCATCTGACAACAGCTCCGGGAATAGCCTGGGTGAAGGGAGCTGCTAGTCTCCATCTACTTCTCAGTAAACAGGTCCACATCACAAAAGACATTAATTGCCCCCATTGCTCTCCATCCTCAGCAGAGAGCGTGAATAGGACGATTGAGCTATACTCTCACTCCTAAAAGAAGTCAGGGTTGAGGCACAATAGCATCCGGGAAGCGTCTGCTATGCTTGCTTGGTAATTAGAGAGCAGATTTCAGACTCCAGGGCTCATCTGGCAGGGTAAACTTTAATTTATAAGCATGAAGTTCTCCTTTTCTTAAAGCAGGTCATAATCCACCCAATCTGAGAGTTGCAGTGTAAACTGAGAGTTGTAAATATCAATCTAACCAAAAAACAACAGAGATGCAGTACTTTTCCTGGAGTTTAATGACCAGTTGCTATAAGCGGATGACCTAAATCGCAGCTGATGGATCCACTTATTTGTTAACCCCCATGAAATGACTAGAGCCAGTGCAGTTGTTGCTATTGTATGGTGAAAATTGGAGGATGGTCATAGCCGTAGGGAATTATTTAGGGGTGATGTTGTCTGAATTGGCAACGATGTCCTCTGTATTAGCCAGCCAGATTGCTTGAAACATCTCAACATTCCTTTCAGTGGCTGTATCATGTCAGCAGCTGCACAAGAGACAAGAGCCCCTAACCCTCTGGAATGGGGTTCAGATACCAAGGGGATGAGACTGGTTTAGATTGAACTGTAGGCAGCACGGTGATATTGCAGCTTTAATTCACACCATGGATCCCTACACTGCAGGGCAAGAGCAGCACTAAAATTCAAGCCTTTGGGGAAATGAGGGAATATATTTCTTGCTTCCACTCGTTGCTAGGGGCACAGTTCCAATAACTTTTGCTCTTGTCACGTGTGAATGATTTGCTATGCAACATTTAATATAATCTGTTGCATTTCCACTGTGTAGCCATGGGTTTGCCTTAGGCTGTAACACTACAGTACAGATGTGAATTTCTAGACGGCTAGGGCTACACCTACACTACAGCACTTACAGCCGCACAGCTGCGCCAATGCAGCCTGTTGTGGAGATGCTCTAAGTTGATGGGAGTGAGCTCTCCCATCGGCTTAATAACTTCTGCGAGAGGGGGTAGTTTTGTCGCCGGGAGAAGCTCTCCCACTGACGTAAGGCGATTTATACCAGGCTTAGGTCAGTGTAACGTACATTGCTCAGGGGTGTGGATTATTCATACCCCTGAGCGACATAAGTTATACTGAATTAACCTTTAGTGTAGACAAGATCTGAAAAGTCTTTCAGGATGTGGTGCCAATATGTATAATGGGGTTTGATCATTGAAGGTTCTGGCAAGAGCATGATAAACTGTCAATTAAGAATCAATCATCAAAAACTAGGGGTGTAAAATTTCCAGAAATTTTGAAGGCATGGGAAAAAAAGCAAGTTTTTTCCAGGGGAGTTCTGGAATATAATAGAAATTTTGGGAAAAACCAAAATATCTGCAGTAGTTACTTGCTTATCAAAACTAAACTTTATTTACTTCTTTAAGAATGAGAAATGTATTATCTATAATTTAGTTAGAACATCAAAAGTACTGTTTGGTGTACTTATGTAAGCAGAGTCTGAATGAGCTCTCCCCTGACATCTAGTGGTGAGCTGTGGAAAGGACTTCAGGAGCTGATCTTGTTTGCACCCACCCTGCCTAGGTGCTCAGCATGATGGGACTGCTTGCCCAAATGGTCACTTTTGGCTGGTGTTGGATCCCCAGTCTCCTTGTTATTGGGGCAGGAGTAACAAAGCGTTGTTATCCTTGTGTGAATCAAGGGCAGCAGAACTGTACTTGGCATGGCCTGATAAATGGAACTTGCTAGGCAGGAGACATGGGCGCCAAAGCTCAGTGAATTGAGAGATGGTGGGGATAGGTACTTGTGTCTGGTGGTGTGGGCCCCAGACACTACTTGACCCTTCCTCTCTCCACTCTATAATAACAGAGCTAATTCAGACTCCATTGAGAGTATTGTTATACCCGGCAGAGCTGAAATCACTGATACCTAGGTCTAAGCATTAGACCTGCTTTGGGACAGTGTCTCTGATGCAAGAGACTGCCCAGTGTGCACCAGCAGTGAGGCTCTCCAGTAACAGCTGACATCACTGAGAGCTGTGTTAAGGTGTGGGACCTGAAACCATCCAGGCGGCTTAGCAAGCAGCTGGCAGGGTGGCCAGCAGAGAGGTGTGGCGATCGTGCGGGCAGCCAGCAGAGAGGCGTGGCAATTGGCCGGCAGGGCAGCCAGCGAAGAGGTGCAGTGATCGACCAGCAGGGCAGAACGGAGCACTGATTGGCCGGCGGAGTGGTGACGAAGAGGAGCAGCAAGTGCCTGGGCAGTGAAGCGAGTAAGGTGCCTTCTTCCCCCCGCCCTCCACCCAGGGCAGGAGGTGAACTCTGCAGATGCACCTCTGGACTCTGGGGCTGCACTGACCAAGGACAACAACTGTGAGCGGGGTGCAGAGAAGGGACGGGCATGTTAAAGGGACTTTTGGTTGCTGAACTTAAGAACTTGACAGAAAAGGACACTGCCCAACTTATTGGGGATCGGTCTTTTGCTCATGATTTCTGTTTATGAACCCTGTTTGTGGTGTTTTCCCAAATTAATACCAGATTAATTCCCTCCTTTTCTTAAAAATTTATTTTCTACACTCAGACTCTGTGCTTGCGAGAGGGGAAGTATTGCCTCTTAGAGGCGCCCAGAGGGTGGTATGTTACTGGGTGGGGGCTTGAGTTGGTTTTGTGTTGTATGGTTGAAGAGAAACCCCTAGATATTGAACCCAGCCCCTGTTACTGCCAATTCCAACAGGCAGAAGGGTTACACTTATTAAATAAATAAGTAAAATTATTTAGTTTTTATTTGAATAATAATGACAAACATATCTAGTATTAGGGATGGGGTTGCAGCTGCACACTAAGGTGAACAGGAAAAATATATAAAAAGTTGAAAATAGAAAGCCTCAATATTGTTGTAAACAAAAAGGAAGGTTATGTCCTTTGGGCTCAGAAAAATGTATGTAAATAGCGCTGACCTGACATTATCATGCAGATACAGAAGGAATTCATGCTTGTAGAGAAAAAGCCCAGAAAATTAATGTTTATAATTTAGTTAACAAAGTACAATATTAAGGACCAAGAGTAAATGTGTATATATAGCCAAACTTTATATTAGTAACACCAGATTCTTTAATAGTGCGTTATCATATATGCCATAAGTGTTGAAATTGTCGACATAACTAGCCACTCGATGAACCAGTATAATATAATTCAAACAGTTGCTAATGTATTCTGGGAAATGCTAGCATAGCTCAAGTTTTTCCTTCTTTCCTTTCTCTTTTACTGGCCCTTCTGAGAGAAAATATTCCAGGTAACAGTTTCTTTTCAATTTTTCCCATACCAGGCCTCGGGGGGAAAAAAACACCCAGAAAAAAACCCTCTGTTTTTCCCTTTAAAAAGTGTCTAGTTTTTGCAGACCCTCACATCTCTGACGAGGTGCATATGGAGCGTGCTGTCACCCTCACACAGGACAGCTCTTGGCTGTTTACACCACGGCAGTGTTTGATGTGAATTTTCAGGCTGTGAGACAAGTCACAGGACCCTCTCTGCAAAGAACATGAGTAGATCTCTGAATTGCAGAATGAGACACAGATGAGCAAGCGACTGAGGTTTCTGCCTGCCATTGAGAAGGCAGCACAAGAAGTGACAGAAGCCAACTGGCCTTCAATAAGCTCACATATAAGTGAGGAAAATGGATGCAGTTAATATCAAGAAATGTGAAGTTGCTGTTTTTGCTGAGGTTTAAGAGCCAGGTCCTGCAAATCCCTTACACATGTGTGTAATCATTACTCAGGTAAGCAGTGCTACTCACATGAGAAAGCACTATTAATGTAAGGGTTTGCAAGATCAGGCCCAATGCCACCCAGTTGGTTCTAGTTCTTCTGAGCAAATAGTCATTACTTTTCTCATTCTCAGAAGTAAAGTTTCAGAAAGGTAGAGGCCATTTCCCCTCACAAGGTTGCATAGCTGAAAATATATCCCTTAAAGTCTAAGGAGGCAAAGTCTGCATGGAGAAGATCAGAACGGAGAACGGAATCTTCCAAGTACAGCATTTGTTTGGCTTTGGGGATTCTGTTTTGGGGTTTTTTCCAACAAGTGATGTTAATAACTGAATTTTACAACCTACCATTCTCAGGGCTTTGTCCCATTGTTTCGTATTGAGTAATCTGTAAGAGCTCCATTCCTGCAAAGTGCATTCTTTAATATTCCAAAAAATGGTTTAAAACATAAATATACCAAGTTTAGAATGTTATCCCTTCCTGGCTCACACTGGACCCAAATTATGAGCAGCGTACTCCCATTACTACCTATACAAAACCAAATCCCAAAGAGAATCTCACTCTGATAAGACCAGCCACAGAAACTACATTCTTATTGTGCTCTCACACAACCCTTCTCTCGGTCATTACACACAAAACAATCCCTTACCAGGGCAGAGTCATGTGTGACAAAAATGAAGGAAAACTTCTCATTTTTTGTACTGAAGAAACCAAAATAATAAATTAAGGCCAACATTTTCAAATGTGGGTTTTTAAGGTTAAGCATAGATACCCATATGACAGACACCAAATAAAAGTGCCCTGGTTTTCACTGGCCATGGATATTACTGGGAGCTATGGTGTTCAGCACCTTGGAAAATCCAGGGATTTTTCTTTACAATAGCCTACGTATGAATTTTGGTGCCTAACTTCAGGCAGCCAGGTTTGAAAACGTGGTCCCTCGCCTAATCTTCATGACATTTTACATGCACACAGATAAGGATATGATCCAGGGAAGAGCCATCGTTTGAGCTCCCTTATATTTTCTTCTTCTTGCAAACAAGACCTGAGCCCTCCTGTAGTTAATTTGACGCCTGTCTCTTAAAGTCTGTGCTGTTTGTAAAAAAAAATAGTCAAGAAAACAACGTGAGCACCTTTGCCACACAGTCAAACATCTCCTTTCTTACTGGCATAGACTAGATAAAGAGATAGACATACAAGTATTGCATTAAATGTAACACACACACACACACACACACACACACAGAGCGTACTTGAGGTGTAAAATGTGATGAAAGCTTTAGATATTAAAGAAATCAAAGAATTTCTTAGTCCCAGATGAGGACATTATATATCATTTTGCCTGAAGATGCTCATGGTGCGAGTGTGAGGAGCAAACAGACCACTGACGAGGGAAGAAGTACAATTTTATATCACTCTGTCGTGTCCATAGAAAGGCACTGTATGGTGTCACGCTGCAAGGGAGCACTGAACTATGTCACTCCACCCACAATAGCGTTTCCAGGGAAGCAGTATATTACAGAGTGTCTGCCCAATGTAGCGTCCATCAAAGACACTTTACAGCATCACCATACAGAGTTTATTGGGTGGTGCAACAGGCTTCCTTATGGACACTCTGTGCCATCAACTAGTGCTGCTGCTGCCAGGCTGGGAGCTGAGCCAACAGCAGGACTCCCATTGGCCACATCAGGAGCGTTTAAGGCTGGGTGCTATCCACTCTGAGGAGCTTGCTCCTGCTGCCAAACAGAAGATCCCAATAGTGCATCCTCCTGACTTATTCTATGCTCACTGTTTTGCCACCTCCCTCTGCCCAGTGCTGCCACCACATACTAGCAAAGCACTCAACGGGAAGCCCAAGGGATACTGGTTCAAGTTCTCTAGGCCAATCACTGTTCCCTGGAGAGTCATTTCTGAAGCCGGGAGAGAGGTGCAGCAGTCCATGTCAATAGGAACCATTGTACCCTTCGTGCACACAACATCCACACTCACTTACCAGACACTCGATCAATACTATACATCCTCTCCAGCTTTTTCCTACGCCATCCTGTCTCGCTGGACTGGTGCTGCTCCAGGTCAAAGGAGTGCTGGGAGTGGGCTGCCAACTGAGCACAGGTTGGGCACTCCTTGGAGCCCTGCCGACTGCCTGCCCAGCCTTTGCAATGCCTGCTAATGTTGTGAGAGCTGCCAGCGCTCTGCAGAGGCTGGCCATGATGGCAGTCCTCTCGGCCAGTGCCTTTCATCACCACCAATTCCATGCTCTCGTTCTCGTGGTCCGACAGCATCGGCCTCTCACTGGAGATAGTATACACCCGTGCCTTCGGCCCCTCGCTCGGGATCTTCTCGGCCTGTTCCTCAGAGAAGCTCCTCTCAAACTTGCCATCTGAGATGACGGACAGCCTGCGCTTGTTCTGAGCTGCCTGCTGCATCTCAGGGGAGTCTTCCTGTCCAATATAGGAGTCCGCTAACAGGTGATCTGAAACAGAGGGCACACTTGGTATTTATCGCTTAGACCCTTGGCTTACCCCAGGCACTGACATAGTAGGTGCTATGGAGCTGTAGCCTGTGTTATCTGTGTAGAAGGGGGAGAAAGAGAGGAGGGCAGATACACCTGTGAAACTAGGCAGTAGAATGTGTACCCATTGCCCTCATAAATCTCGACAACTGGTGCTGAACAAGAGGCATTTCTTGCAGTTGTGCCTATTTTATTTCCTTGCAAATGTCCCAAACACAAGAAAGGGCTGGAAGCTGACAGCAGGGGAACAAACATCTTCATGGTTCTGGTCTTGAACTTGCAAATGCTTACTCCCTGAGCAGTCCTATCAACTTCAACAGAGCTGCCCACCTAAATAGGGGCTACTTAGGTGAGGAAGGTTCGTAGATAGGGCCCTGACTTGTGGAACAAACACCAAAGGCATGCATGCACCCAAAAGCATGTCCAAACCTTTCAACCTATTCCCAGAGAGCAGACCCCAGCAACGACCATGGGAGAGGGAGGAAAGTTGGAAGGGCATTCTGAATAATGGCATGCAGACATGTACACACCATCCAACTTGGCTCTGGTACTGCCACAATGCACATGGCTTCAGACTGTTCCCAGAAAGCAGGGATTGCCTAGGTCAGGTGTAGAGCGTAGGCAGCCATATTGGCAGAGTATATGTCCTCTGGACTCTGGGAACAAGCTATTGGTCTGGGCATTCTTCTTGCACGGAATTGTTTTCTGCATCTGTTATTTAAAAACAAACGGAAGGAGAGGGGGAAGCATCAGAGATTTCGGGCTGATTTTCTGTGTGCACAACAAATCCAAAGAGGAGTGGTGATGGGAAGCCCTTTTCTAGGTGACACCACCAGCAAACAGCCATCATCACTGTTTGTAAACCATGTTTGCATCCCTACAAAAGCTGCACTGAAAGGAAGAAGCAATGACTCCTTGCATGGAATAAATGTAGCCAGAGCTGAGCAAGAGAGAGAAGCCCAGCATGTGGAGGGGAATTACAAATGTAATCTCCTTTCAGAGCACATGCAGTAAGTGAAATGCCAGGAAATCTCTGCATTATTCTTTGCACAGACCCAACAGCTGTCTCCACCCATCTGCCAGCCTCTTTCTTTCTTTTCCAAGAGAGCTGTTTAATCATTTTGTGGGGGTTTGGGGCAAAGGAGGTGCACTCCCTGCCAATTACTTTTTAATGAGTCCCCTAGCTGCTTCCCAACTGAAGGAAGAAGAAGCGCAAGGAGATACTAACTTCTAACATGGACAATAAAAAACAAACCCAAACCTTTGCTTCATTAGACTTTTAATGAAAATGTTTCCTCTAGCAGCTGAGCTGGGATTAGAAAGAATCTCTAAAAGATTTCAGGATCCCGGCCAGCCCCGTAACTACCCTCCAGAGAGTGCAGGAGCTGGCCTGGATGAATGGAGTAGCCTTAGGACAAAGACTGGCTGTGGTGCATCTGCAAATAAGTCTGCTCCATTGAATCATCCACCGCATCTCCTCATCCCTACACTCGACCCCACTTTCCTTTCCCCTCCATTTGGTCCCTCCATTTGACTGGGGGAGGTGCTCTTGTGCCGGTGACACGCTGTCTGGATTGACTGGGAGGAGAGTCCTTCCAAGCTGTGCCTATTCCATGCAGGGGCAGCTCTATGTGTTTTGCCGCCCCAAGCACGGCAGTCAGGCGGCTTTTGGTGGCGCGCCTGTGGGCGGTCCGCTGGTCACGCCGATTCGGCGGCATGCCTGCGGGAGATCCGCCAGTCCCGCGGGAGATCCGCCGGTCCCGCGGCTTCTGCATACCCGCCGCCAAATTGCCACCGAATCCACGGGACCAGCGGACCTCCCGCAGGCATGCCGCCAAAGGCAGCCTGACTGCCACCCTCACAGGGACCGGCAGGTCGCCCCCCACGGCTTGCTGCCCCAGGCACGCGCTTACTGTGCTGGTGCCTGGAGCTGCCCCTGATTCCATGGCTGTCGGACTAGAGGCAAGTGTGGATCCTGCACATGCAGTGAGGACTAATCTTGTATGGTTTGTTCCAAGGGCTGAACACTGATCCCAGCACTGCCCCCAGCTAAGGTGTCTGGTATTGAGCACACGCTACGTGACCCTCAGCTCCTTTCCCTGCTCCATGGGAACACAGCACAACAGCCACTAGGCCCTGTCAGAGGAAAATGTTTCTGGGGGGCCAAACTGGTCATCCTGTTCATGGCCATGGGCTGAAACGGTTTAAGGAACAGTTCAGGTCAAGACCCATCCAGTTCATTTCACTTGTGACTTGGTGAGGCCTCAGGGATAGTACAGTTTTCTTGCACCCAGTGGCAGCTGTGATCATCTTTTCATTGCATTCACAGGGGAGGTTTTGCTGGCAAATCATCTAACTGCTCCCCATGACCCCACGTCACACACTGAAAATGTGGAGGGTAGAGGAAGAGAAGCATTCAGGTAACCTTCTGCTACAGTCAGACATGCACCACGGATAACAGCAGTATCGTGGATAGGACCTCCATCACCAACAGCATGAACCCCTAGTGCTCGAGTGACAGGAGTCACTCCATTAGCTGTAGCTTGTCACTCAACAGCAGGCTCCTTGTTCCCTGGGTTCAGACAGGACTGGGAGACTGGACATCCCACACTAAGCTGGTTTAGTACAAGCTCACAGACTCCACAGTGGCTTGTGTCACTCTTCACCCCTAAGAATGCAGCAAGACACCACAGAAAGGAGCTCTTACACTGCAGCTTTCCATTTCTTCTCCAGCTCCACCTCCAGCAGTGATCAGAGCCAGCATGCCTTCGGCAAACCACCACCACTCTGGCTTCTATTCCACCCAGACCGTACAGCACTCGCAGCTTTGGCAAGGGCTACACACACCAGAGCCTGTGTTAAAAGCTCAGACCAGTGCTAGGCATGTACCTCTCGGTGTTACACGTTAGTACCTGCACAAGCACTGCGAGATCTATCTGGGTGCACTCAAACTAGAGGAATCGTGATACATAGCAAAACACAGACAGCTATAGATACTCATGGCCCATCCAAAGGTTACCTGCATGGATTAAATATCACATGGATTAATTTCAGTTACAACACAGAATGCAAAGTGTACCGTGCTCACTTTATATTTATTGTTGATTACACATATTTGCACTGTAAAAAAATTATTTTTCAATTCACCTCATACAAGTACTGTAGGGCAATCTCTTTATCATGAACGTTGAACTTACAAATGTAGAATTATGTACAAAAAAACTGCATTCAAAATTAAAACAATGTAACACTTTAGAGCCTGCAAGTCCACTCAGTCCTACTTCTTGGTCAGCCAATCGCTCAGACAAACAAGATTGGTTACAATCTGCAGGAGATAATACTGCCTGCTTCTTGTGTACAATGTCACGTCAAAGTGAGAGCAGGTGTTTCCATGGCACTGTTGAGGCCGGCATTGCAAGATATTTATGTGCCAGATGCGCTAAAGATTGATATGTCCCGTCATGCTTCAACCACCATTCCAGAGGACATGCTTCCATGCTGATGACAGGTTCTGCTTAACAATGATCCAAAGCAAACGACGCATGTTCATTTTCATTATCTGAGTCAGATGCCACCAGCAGAAGGTTGATTTTCTTTTTTGGTGGTTCAGGTTCTGTAGTTTCTGCATCGGAGTGTTGCTCTTTTAAGATTTCTGAAAGCATGCTCCACACCTCATCCCTCTCAGATTTTGGAAGACACTTCAGATACTTAAACCTTGGGTCAAGTGCTGTAGCTATTTTTAGAAATCTCAGAGCAGTAGCTTCTTTGAGTTTTGTCAAATCTGCTGTGAAAGTGTTCTTAAAATACTGAGACTGCTATAACATGAAATATATGCAGAATGCGGGTAAAACAGAACAGGAGACATACAATTCTCCCCCCAAGGAGTACAGTCACAAATTTAATTGATACATTATTTTTTTTATGAGCATCATCAGCATGGAAGCATGTCCTCTGGAATGGTGGCCGAAGCATGAAGGGGCATACGAATGTTTAGCACATCTGGCACGTAAATACCTTGCAACGCCAGCTACAAAAGTGCCATACGAATGCCTGTTCTTACTTTCAGGTGACATTGTAAATAAGAAGCAGGCAGCAGTATCTCCCGTCAATGTAAACAAACTTGTTCCTCTTAGCGATTGGTAGAATTAGAAGTAGGACTGAGTGGACTTGTAGGCTCTTAAAGTTTTACACTGTTTTGTTGAGTGCAGTTATGTAACCACAAAAAATCTGCATTTGTAACTTACACTTTCACGATAAAGATATTGCATTTCAGTACTTGTATGAGGTGAATTAAAAAAATACTATTTCTTTGTTTATTATTTTTACAGTGCATATATTTGTAATAAAAAGTAATAATATAAAGTGAGCACTGGGCTCACTTGTAATTTAAATCAATATTGAAAATGTAGAAAAACATCCAAAATATTTAATAAATTTCAATTGGTATTCTATTGTTATAAGTGTGATTAATCGCGATTAATTTTTTTGAGTTAACTGATTAATTGACAGCCCTAATCACATCCTTATGATATTAAATTAATTATATACACTTCATTGACAGGCCCACCCTGTGCGTCTGTCAGACAAGCCTGCATATTGGTGTTAATAGTGTGAATTTCTAAGCAGTCTCAAATTCTGATTTCAGAACTTCAATTATTGACACTGCAGTCTGTCGGGTTACTCCAGATTTACACCAGTGTAAATGACAGCAGAACTGGTCTGACATATGATTCAACCTGTAAACTGAAATAATTGTGGAGTTAAAATTCTTGTGAAAATATTCCTAGTTCTAACTACTTAAAAAGTGTGATGGAATTTGTTAAAGTTGTAACTGGAGGGATGGATGGATTTTCCTACATCTGTTCCTTTTCCCTGATTAAAAAATGGTTTGACTTCTAAAGAGCAAGGAGTTTTCACACAGAAATATTGTACATCTCTATAGGCCACCTCCATGTGCTGCC